GTATAAAATGTTGTCAAACTGCCCTTTTTTTTTTAAAAATACCCTTGATGACATACCAATTTCTTTGAATAGGATTGGTCTGATGTCAAAACCATCAGATTTAAATTTTAATTTGGTATCTAAGTGCCTGGTTCAAATTGGCAAAATCCAAAACTTGTATTGGTCAAAACAAAACTGCTCCTTGGCCTGCTAACTGTAAGGACTTTTGATACAAGTGTTTCAATTCAAGTGCTTTCTGTGCACCTGCAAAACCTTCAAGCTGCTGTTCACTGATATCCAATTTACATCTCTAAGCATTGAAAAAGCACATCTTTTGAAGGAACCACGCAATGCTTCTCCCCAGCATTTTAGAAACACCAAATTCTTACGTTCTGCCTCCAAATTCACAAGCACTCTCTGCCCAACTTAGCAACATCCATCATTGCTGTTCCCTAGGTACTTACACCTAGCCAAAATGAATACTTGATCATTTTCCAAATGATGGTCTCCAAGCATGTACTGTCAGTCTTGAAATGATTTAGCCTCCAGATCTGAACCAGACTGGCGTTCTAAATATTCAATTGAACTTGTCTGTCTTCTCACTGTCTCGCTTTTTGAATTGTTAAGTCAAATGGGATGCTAATTTGTGTTTGGACAACTGCAAGCTATTTTCCATTGAACACCAATTTAGAACCAGAATTCCATTTTAGGTAGAGGCGATAAGGGCGATTGTCATGGAAACAGAAAAATATCATGGGTGCAGTAGATGTGTTATTTTGATGCTGGGGTTAGTTTAGAGCACTAGTTGAGTGAAACTGGGTGAAAATTTAGCTGCTTCTAATTGAGATTATATCAGTCTTGCAGCAGTGATTAGTGCTAGGAAACATGTTTGGGAAGTATTTTGTGTGTACAATGCCTCTCCTTAGCCTGACTGCAAGAAAACTGAAATAAAGACAGTTCTTCTAATTGCTAAGTTACATATGCTGAGAAGGACAAGTTTACCTTTACCTGGAGTAAACACTTTTGTGTGTAGATAAGTCAATGGTGTTCTCTTAAAGTTTTTATAAACTCAGACAATTTAGTTCTTGATAAGAATTATATTTAGGACATCTTTGTATTTATGTTGTCATTAGAAATGTATATGAACTACTATCTTGTACAGTGTTCTATGTATTAAACCTGTAAGATGCAAGAGTGCAGTAGGAGACTGTAGTATAGGTATGAGAAGAATTGCCTGGAGCAACTGTCAAACATGAACTTCAGAGGAAAGTTTCGGCATGTCCTTTAGAGTTCAAGAATGCTGCAGAAACAGGTGGTGTCTGACTAAGGTAATAATTATCTTTCATCTTGATGGATGTAGGTTTAATCATCTTCTTACTTGGTAGCCAAAGCTTTCAACTTGAGTAGTGTCAGCCGAGCAGATGGGATCTTCGTGTGGTTTGCATGCCACGGTGGATACCCCAGAGGAGGTATACCAAGGATACTTTTTATGCACTTATTTGATTTATATATAACACTTAAGTGTGCTAATAGTACCTCTGGTGTCCTGTTTATGGATGATGACTGTAACACACGCAGCTATTTATTACACCATGGGAACACTCGTGTACTGTTGATGCTATTGTTCCTTTGTTTTGCTGTTTTGGCTTATTCATTGGGAAATGATTGTGTAGTAGCTGGAAACATGAGTGCTTATTTTGATCTGGAATTTATACAGTTCTTGAATGTGAAAGCTACCATTGGGATTAATCGGTTTTAACACGTTTTAAGTGTTAAATTATCCTTTTTTTAAAGTTGTATTTGATTTATCATGGCTCATCAATGTTAAAATGCCTGCATCTCAGACTAATTTATGGGTGTTTTCATGGGTTAATGCCAGATGGTGGTAACGCTCCATAGGGAATATCTTGGTAACAATCAAACTCGAATCTTGCTACATGCATTTAAATTTCATGATGAATGTCTTGCGTTTTATATACTGCCCAGAATTGTTTAAACTTTTGCTTTAACTTCAAGATTTAACTGAATTTCTTTATACACTTATTTAAACAGGAGACTTGCAACCTAGAAATTTTAGGTGACTTATGCTCTTAAAATGTGTGACAGTATCCAGCTCATGATGGATATTGGACAGCAGTGAATTTGGTTGTGTGTCTGCAAACCTAAGCTAGAATTTTTGCTGAAACACAAGGGACAGTCTGGTACAGGGTGTGATAACTTGAAATTATTAAGTTACTAATGCTTTTAAAACTATACAAAGAGCACACGATGACCAACATTGCTAGCAAGGAGTACATTGTTTGTCACTGTTCGGATCCACGGGTAACAAATGTGTGGAATCTGGTATGGCTGCAAAGTGAAGTATCTAAATTAGAAAGGCTTCATAAAATATCATGTTAGACCTACCTATCCAGACGGGTGAAGTGATTCATTTTTTTTTTTAAAAAGAACTTGATTTATCTGTAGTGTTTGGAACTGTGATTCTGTTTAGGGGGATAAAACAGAAGTGTCTTCTTACAAATACAAAGCTTTAGTATCATTTAAATACTACCCACTTTGTTGCTTGGAGTTACCAATTTGGACAAAACAGGAGATCTGAGAAAAAGGAAAATCTTGTCTTCATTTGTATCTCTGTTTGAATTCGGACATGTTAATCATTGTGAATTTAAAATTGGTTGGCACACTTTATCCACTGAGCCTGGAAATGACTGAGCAATGTTATGGCTTGAACAGCAATGTACTCTAATCAAATTCTTCTGGTATTTTAACCCACATTTAATCTCATGTCAGTTTAATTATATTGTGCAAGTTAGAATAAATGACTATGATATGAAACGGAAAAGAAAGGCATTTGCTAAGAGCTGGTTTTAAATTTGTGTTATGTTCAGGTATTCCTCCTTTCTCAAAGAGGATAATTCAAAATTTTAAAGAATGCTTTTATGTATGCAAATCTGCCAAATTCAGTTTGCCGTGCGTGTTTTGTATAGCCAATCATTAAAATATACGAGATGTCTGCAATAATGTCTTCCAGTTTCCCTTCTATCTGTATGTAATGTTGGGTAATGGTCTCTTGCTTCAGTAGTATAGTCAAGACAAGAATATTACAGTTAGTATTGTGCATTAATGTGCCATCATGCTGTATTACCAGATTTGATCTTCAAATTATCATGCTGATTTAACTCAAATTGAGAAAAGCCTTGTTTTTTTTAAAAGGTATAAATTTGCAGGTAATTATTGTCCAATATAATTATGGCAACCGTGTGCAAACTAATGGAACTGAAAACTTTCAGTTGCTCTTGAGGAGCAGTAGAAGTAAGACTTGAAACCACGCATATATGCCATACAGAGGAGCAAGAACGAAGGCTGGAGTGTCAACTGAAAGAAGTGCAAACTGTTTGCTCCAGGTTAACAATGAAGGCCATTTCCAAACATCGAGATCTCTGTACAATATAAGCTCTGGGCCTAATTTCTAGATTGAATGGTTATGCAAGGAACAAAAGTGCAACAGCTTTGGAAGATAGGCAAATATTTGGAAGAAAGGCCAAAACTGTAAACCAGAGGTTATTCCAGGAAAGGCAAATTTTCTGAATGTGTATCAGCTGACCACATCTGTACCTTTTTTTCTTGTTTAACCGCTTAGTTGTATAAATTATTTTTGTGTCTCTGAATTCTGTCAATCTTTCTTTCTTTCTTTTTTTTCTGTACCTGATTTTACTCTCATTTGCTCTTCTTTCATTTCCTATTACTTCCTTTATCCATAAATTCTTCGAGGACATAAAGATGCCGTAAAGGGATATAGGTTAGGTGAGTGGGCAAGGATTGGACAAATGGGGCTTATAAGAAACTGAAATTGTTTTTAGCAGGAAGAATAAAGCGTGCTATCTAAATGGTGAGAGATTGCAGAGCTGTGATGCAGAGGGACCTGAGTGGCCTAGGGTATGATTTGCAGAAGGTTAGCATGCAGATACAGCAGGTAATCAGAAAGCTGATAGAACATTATCACTTAATGAAAGGCATTTAATGCAAATGTAAGGAGGTCATACTTCAAAGAGCATTGGTGAGACCACTGTGTGCACTATTGGTCACCTTATGTAAGGAAGGATGTAAATACATTAGAAGCAGTCAAGATAAAGTTTATTAGGCTAATATTTAGAATGGGCAGACTGTGTTCTAAGGACATTTTTGGACCTGGTAGGCCAGTACGTACTAGAATTTTTGAAGAGTAAGGGGTAGCTTGATTTGAAGCACAAACCCTGAGGGGGGATTCTTGACAGGGTTGATTTGGAAACTATGTGCCCTCTTGAGTCTTGAACCAGGTGTCACTAGAGTCTAAAAATGAGATTATGGATTCTAAAACCAAGATGAAGCTAAATATTTTGAGGGTAATGAGTCTTTGCTTCCACTGGTTTCAAGCAAATGCAAGAGTTCCAGAGTCTTTAAAATATTTAAAGACAAAGGTAGAAAGATTCTTGATAAGCAAAAGGGTGAAAGGTTTTCAGGGGGAGGTGGGAATGTAGAGTGATCAGCAGTCATGACTTTATTGAATGATGAAGCAGGCTCAAGGGTTTGGATATCAACTCCTCCTCATTTCATGTGATTTTATCTCAATGTTTGAGGGGATGCGCCTGTTGGAGTCTCCATCCACAAAGCGCTCATTGCAACAAATAGCAACACTAAGTAGTTGAGATGAGGGTGCAGAAAAATATCTAGCAAGTGGGCATAGAGGTGCCCTGCTCCAGTCCATATATTTTCAATCCTCCTTAATTATGCAAATGTCACTTATGTTATGCTGTTTCTCAGTTTATTTGTTTTGTTTGTTTTTTCATGGAGTGGGGGAATGGGAATTTGCATTGAAAGTGTATTGTTGGGAACAGAAAATCCATTTTATTCCAAATGTCCTCTGCCAAAATTATGTTTTATGTTTGGATTTATGGATGACCTTTTTTTGCCTGCAGCTAATTTTTATTTAGTATACACTTCTTTTGTTTGCATTTTAACACAATTGCTCTTGTTTTTTGCAGCTGGATGGTAGGACTTGAAGATGAGAAGCAGAAGACTGACGTACATTACAGGTCACTCGGAGGTGAAGGGAATTTCAATTGGAGACTGGTATTCCCATTTGACTACCTCCCAGCTGAGCAGCTCTGTGTTGTATCCAAGAAGGTGCGTTTGAGTGAGAGAGCAATCCATTTTGGGCAATAAATGTCTGGAATCCTTTGAGAATTTCTTGAACATTTAGCAATGCAACTTGCAGGATTTGACAACCACATTGCCGTGCAGGGAGGAAATCAGCATGTGGTTAGGATAGCTAAAAGCCCAAGCCTGACTTGCAACAGGAGGAGGTTTAACTTCCTGGTAACTTGCTGTTCGGTAGAGGACGAGGACAAAGCCGAGCCCATGGACACGTTCTCTGGAATGCTCAGGTTCAAGTACAGGGATTGCTAAGTGCTGCTTTCCCCACAGGGTAGTTACATTGGTTTATAACCAATCGTCCTGTTGGAAAATTTCCTGTAGGGAGGTCTATTGTCCTTTGCCCTGCACCATTTCCTCTTGTTTGTAAGTGTACATTCCTCCTATTCATGTTAATAGCCATGTGTGTAATCCGTACTGTGAGGAGTTATTTATGCAGCATTCTGTGGGAATACTACTTGCATGAAGAAATGTACTCTGTTGTTGGGGCTACCACAGGTCATATCTAACTGACCTCTTCCTTTCTTTGGATGTATAAATGCATCATTAGAATGACCTTGAAGCCTTGATACTTTTGTATTCATGTCAGCTTTCTTCCCAGCTTCTAATTTGACAGCTGGCAGTGTGTTTAAAACCAGGTGTTTAGAGCTAGGGTCAGTATGTTAGCAAAAAAGACATTGAAATTGTTTGACTACAACGTCTACAAATGTAGAACAGTCTTCATGTTTCTGACAATTAAATTGTGGGCTTCAACAGACCAATTTTGAATTGGTATGTTAGTAATATCTAAGCAATTTTCTAGTCCCCTTTACGCTGAGAAAGTTTAAGACTCCATAGATGACATTCTGTAAGATGTGAAAGGGAGCAGAAAAAAGTGAAAGGAATCATCGTGTCGGTTTACTTTTTCTGTTTCAGGAAAATTTCTGGAGCCTTGACAAAACAGAATTCAGGATGCCTCCCAAATTAATCATTCAAATCTGGGACAATGATAAATTTTCCATGGATGACTATTTGGGTATGAATTTGCTTTTTACTTCCCTCCCCTCCTACCGGGTTAACTTGTTTTACCTAAACTGAAGTGATACTATAATTGCCTCTTTGCTAATATAACAGTAAATAGGCTGTCATAAAGTTTTTCCAAAGGTGATTGTTTCTTGGTGCAGCAGGTAATTGCTAATTGTGATTGGAAAGGCATTGTGCTGTTATGATCCTTGTTTGGAAGGTATGTCTTGTTCTTTTTAGTTGATGTGGAGACTACATACCCTTTGGGAGGTTTTTACTCTTTATGTGCCACACTTTTTTTCTTCCAGCTGAACTCTGGTAGTATAATTTATTAATGATATTGAACACTGTCTTTTTTAACTGACTTGTATTGAGTTTGTCACAAATGCTTAAGTTCACAGCAAATTCTTAATGCTGCTTTTGGAATAGTTGGAATAAAAAAAACACTTCAACTTTTGTAATAAAGTCATTACTAAAGGACAGAAAAGAACATTCATAATTTCACTTGTTCAGTGATTCAAGTGAAATGTTGACCTGGATTATTCTCGAGTCAGGATGATTTGGGAGCTGTCTTAAAATGTCAGGTAAGTCTTAACTTCTGAGATTCCTGACTCCGTTTCTGGGTTTTCTGGTTTGCAACAGTGCCTATTTGAGTGCAGATATTTACTAAAAAGCACATTGAGATGTTATGACCTGTCTCCGGACAGGATGGGCCTTGAACCCTGGCCCAGAGTCAGGGACACTATCACCGTCACAAGAGGCATAGTCTTTGAGTGCAGATCATGAGCCTGCAGCCAGATAACTTGACCTGACTGTCTCCGTCTCTGTTTCATAGACAGGTGTGGCCTCCCCTTGTGCAAATTTCATTTAAATCAGGCCAGCTTTTTAGAATTGTAATTTGCATCACCATCTCCAGAGGTGTTGTGAATCATCGTTTGGGTGGGGGATTATTTTTTTATTTTTTTATTTTTTTGAAACATGAGTTCAGGAAGTTCTTCGCCTACTTCCCATGCTCCCTCCACCCTGTACCTCAAAATACTACTTTGGTGATCAAAAACCTGGTCGTTAGCTAAGTTTTTTTTTTAAAAAAGATTGCCTGAAGGAGGAAAGTGAGACACAAGGAGACTATTTCAGAAACTTGAGGTTTATGTAGCTAAAAGGCACCGATGGGACAGCTGTTAAAATCGGGAATGCTTGAGGCTGGATTGCAGGGTATAGATGAATGTTGAGCTGGAGGCAATTACAATGAAAGAGAGGGATGAAGTTATGGAGGAATTGAAAACCAACACCGTTTTAAAATGCAAATTTTGGCTGGAATTAGAGATGATAGACAATGTCACACACAGGAGTGGTGGTTTTATGATTCCCTTGGTGACCAATAGCAACTTAAAAATGAATTTACCACTGACTGACAGGACTGAAGGGCAAGATTTCATGGTTTAGACTCTTTTATTTTAACAAATTAAAATCACCCCTAAACATAAACTATTGCACATACTAAAGAGAATATACATTCATACTAACTAATGCAATCTTGATGCACCTTTACAAACTCTTTTTGGCTGTGTATGCCATATCAGACAGATTCGTAGCATTGCAGGAGTTGGTTGAAGTCCACCTCCCAGTCTCCAATGATGCTTCTCCCTGCTTTCCTAGGTTGAAACTTCCAGTGTCTTTCAAAAATTATTCCAAGCTGCAGAATCTTCCAGATCCAATTTTCAACAGTAAGGCAAACCCTTAGTAACCAAGCACAATACTTGCAAATGCAACAGTTCTGCAGGGCAGAGTTGCTTTCCTTTTTGTAGCTGTCTGTCAGAAAGCAGACCTCTCCCTTTTCTCTAAGATCTTTACACAACAGAAGTTTCAGTAGGGGTGAAGTCAAGTGAAGTTGTTTTGTGGAAATTGTTGGTCTGAGCAATTCAAATACTGCAAATGGCTGAAGGTTCATCTTGGGTGGAGTTCAAACATGACACTAGGTTTTCGAGCAGTTTAGTTTCAACAGTTGATAGGGAGACAAATGGAGCTGGTGGATAGCAGAGTTTGGATCTGATTGCTCCAATGTGAGGAGATGCCTTAGAACTGTTATGGAATAGGTCACCTCAATGTAAACAGTTTAGCTTAAAAGTTCCACATCAACTTTTAGGGTGGCACGGTGGCTCAGAGGTTAGCAGTGCCGCCTCTCGGCGCCAGGGACCTGGCTTCGATTCCGGCCTCTGACTATCTGTATGGAGTCTGCACATTTTGTCTGTCTGTGTGGGTTTCCTCTGGGTGCTCTGGTTTCCACCCACCATCCAAAGATGTGCAGATTAGATGGTTCGGCCATGCTAAATTGCTCATAGTATCCCACCCTCTGAAAATGTTACCCCTCGGTATCTGGTTAAAACATTGAAAGGATTATTTGACAATGGGGAAGTCCGGGCTCAGATATATGAAAATTCAAGGAAAAGATCGGATTCTTAAGAGTGAGAATTGAAGCCACAGCTAAATTAAATCCCGTATAATGGAGAAAGGAATTCTCCCTGGTGTATGAGTACTATATAGGGGAGCTGTTGAGATTAATGAGGTTGTAGTTTACATGTTTTTGAAATCTTTTAAACTTGTCATATGCAAAGTTTGGTTTATTCTATTTTATTTCTTTTGCATGAATTAATTCATCTTATTGTTAAAACCAAATTTGCAATATTTGTTTGCTTGTTTCAGTGAAAGACCACCTCACTAAATTAAAAGCTATATCAAGTCAGGGTTCTATCTGGGAACTGATTTGTCCAGCAATAATGCCTACTGGGATCACTTTAGCAGTAACTAGGGAATTTCAGTTATCAGCTTAACTCGCAAGGTTTTGTCCAGTGATTTGACATCAGGATGGGTCCTCTTAGACCATGATATTAGTTAAGTGGTCAGAAGGAAAGTTTGCACATCTGCCAATGTGGTATACTGCATTCACTGTACCCATTGTGGCCGCCTCTACATCGGGGAAACCAAGCGGCGGCTCGGGGACCGCTTTGCAGAACACCTACGCTCGGTTAGCAATAAACAACTGCACCTCCCAGTCGTGAACCATTTCAGCTCCCCTTCCCATTCCTCAGATGACATGTCCATCCTGGGCTTCCTGCAGTGCCACAACGATGCCACCCGACGGTTGCAGGAACAGCAACTCGTATTCCGCTTGGGAACCCTGCAGCCCAATGGTATCAATGTGGATTTCACAAGCTTCAAAATCTCCCCTCCCCCTACCGCATCCCAAAACCAGTCCAGCTCATCCCCGCCTCCCTAACCTGTTCTTCCTCCCACCTATCCCCTCCTCCCACCTCAAGTTGCACCCCCATCTCCTACCTACTAACCTCATCCCACCCCCTTGACCTGTCTGTCCTCCCTGGACTGAGCTATCCCCTCCCTAACTCCCCACCTACACTCACCTTTTACTGGCTCCATCCCCACCTCTTCGACCTGTCTGTTTCCTCTCCACCTATCCTCTCCTCTATCCATCTTCTATCTGCCTTCCGCCTCCACCTCCCCCCCCTTTATTTCAGAACCCCCTTTCCCTCTCCCATTTCTGAAGAAGGGTCTAGGCCCGAAACGTCAGCCTTTCTGCTCCTATGATGCTGCTTGGCCTGCTGTGTTCATCCAGCTCTGCACCTTGTTGTCCAGGTTACTTTGTCATCTGGACAGCAGAACACTAAAGTGGTTGCGCAGTATTGATTTACTGATTCGGGATTGGGGATAAATCCTGACATAAACACTGATACCCTCATCCCATGAATGAATTTTTAAAAAAAAAAAACAAATGGGAGAACTTCTGTCAAAAGAAATCATCATATGACAAGCATGATCAAATCAAGAAAATCCAGTGCCACTTCTAAACTGCATTTGATATCATGAATTAAAATCATGTCTTTCTGTAAGTCATTCTGATGAGGTACAGTGTTGAATCTGCTGTTATCCAGAGATCGTGCATTTCCAGGCTACCTAACAGTTCTTCATTTTGGATATAAGCAAGCTGTTGGGGTAGATTATTTTCCCTGAATATCGAATATTCCAAGAACTCTTTTTAGAAGTAGAAAGTCTTTTTCAGGTAAATTGTTGGAGTTGATGTTAAAACTTGTTTTTTGATCCCATGTTAAAATCACTAACAAAGCTCTATTCATTAAGTTGTAACTTCGTATCTGTACCTATTTACCGCATTTTGCTTTTCTTCAATGTATTTGGCTTGATCCTCAATTTTAGGGAATTGGTCTCCCTGCTGAAGCATCTCTCAAGATGGCAGCTTGGATACTCACCTGAGACACTGCCTGATATGAACAACGTTATGGAGTATTACGGCATTGATGTTGAGAACAACTCGGTTAACAAAATATTAACCTTGTGTTTTGATTTTAATTCAGTTTTGTTCTTTCCTAAAATGCTTTGTATATTTCTTTTTGTGGTGAATTCTAACTTTTAATGCCATGTCAAAAAAATACACTTTCGGAGTTTCATCTACCTTCTCTGTCCTCCTCCTGTGATATTGTCTAAAAACAGAACAGTACGTTTTTGTATAAGTTAAAACAGCATGTTATTGAGTCGTAATTCAAAACTGGCCATGGTTTTACACAATGCAATGAATTGCACTATAGTTATAAAGTGAAACTATGATCGCTTTATTGCAGTGAAGTGGTTGAACTGAATTCTATTAATCGTTGTAAAGAACAGTATATTAAGTTTCTAGATACTCATTGGGTCTTCTCAGCCAGTGGGAATGCTGCTTAACTTTTTCTAACTTTGCTAGATATTTGAAGTTGCCAACACTGATCAAATCAGTTAACTATATTGCCTCTTGTGCCAAATCACACAGCCAGGTTTTTAAAACGAGCAGTGTCTATTGTACAGGCAGTAAAGGATGTCTTGTCTGAGTTTAATCTCACTTTGTTGCTTGACTACTTAAGGTATATTTGTTAATTTCCATAAATTATCATTTAAGCAACTGAGCCAGTTCTGGTATCAGGAGGATTTTTTGTCAGCCAGTCACCTATCAGAACTTCTATGCAACAGAAGCTGAGACTACTATAGCAACATTCATATTTTAATGGAATCAGACATGATTGTGGGTTTCAGTCTCTCTTGAGAGATCAATTAGCCATGTTCCTTGCTTTATTATGCTGAAAAGCAAACAATGAGGCAGTGAAAAGCTGTATCCTATCTGCATTACTGAAACTGAGCCAAAACACTGCTTTCAAAGGTGTATCTATCAGACTTGGTTATAAGTTTCACTTTGCCTCCCTTCTTTGTTTCTGTAACTTTTTTTTTAAAATTTCTACCTTGTTTCTTCTCTATCCACACAGTTTTCTTTTAAATTCCATTCCAGGGCTTTATTAATAATCTCTGCCCAGAGAAGGAGACTGTAAAAGAATGTTTTGTAAGTCAGGCTGATGGATAAGCTGTACTGTTAAGGAAAGCCCTGATTAAAGCTTAACTTGACCTTCACTGTCGTCCTCTGTTCTCTCCCACCCAAACATTAGGGACAACTCAAAGCTAGGAATCAACAGCCCAGGACAGGCAAGGGTTCTTTAATTCTGTAGCGAGGGTGTTCAAAAAATGTGCCAGAGCTGGCCAGTTTGAATCTAATGCTTGGTTTCTATACTGGTGGCTCTGATTTGAGCAAAGTCTGAGATGTTTAGGAACATCTATGTTAACCATTGAGCTCTGATATAAGTGGGCACCTGCTTTGATCCGAGTTGAGAGAAGTAAAATCTGGCGAGGGTTCCCATCATCTTGACTGTTTTGTTAGAAATGCATCTGACTGGATGCAGGTTTAGGAAAGTGTACTTCTTGGCAAGTGACCATGGGCAATAGACTGGTTACAGATGAAGTATTGGGCCTACCTTTTCCCACAAACTTCTGTTGCCATGTGCAACTGGCCTGTTTATTTTATGTAGCTAGTTTCAAAGATCTGTTAGTCCATTTGTGATGCATGCATTGCCTGCTCATCCTTACTGTCCAGGTTCAGGGAGACATTTGTCTATTATTGCAGTAAGGGAGTCCAGGCCCTGACTCTGGAACTGTTTCAGTAAAAATAAGTTACTACTTTAAAAGCAGAAAGTTCTGCTGAATGGCAGCTTCTTGCTCTTGCGTTATCCCTTGACTGACTATCAGGTGATACAAAGTGCCAGAAAGGGTAGAGGTGTCCCCCAGGTCCAATCCATATCATGTACCTTGTCAAATCACTGGCTAGGTAGCTACATTGAATATGTGGTTGCAATTTGTGTGCTTAATCAGTGGAAAACGTTGAGGAAACCTGTTTATCTGCTCTCTCTCAAGTGTGACAATTTTCCTTTTGAGATGACCTTGTTTCTCAGCAGGTAAAATCACTCCAGTGAAATGCCAGGCAAAACAATGGATTGTGATGACTTAATTATTGTCCAATAAACTTTGCTTGTTGATTTATGAATAGCAGAATCAGAAAAGTAATCGGCTTGTTAGGTTTAGAAGGTTGGTTGTAGTCCTGTAGGACAGAGGGCAGCAGACTGCAATTGGTGCCAGCACCCTTGAACCTTGTGATTGTGTTTTGATTCTTCTGTATATCTACATAATGCTGTTCTTGTGTCTCTTGGATTCGCAGGTGTCCTTGAGCTAGACCTAAATTCAACAATATGTCCAACCAAAACCTCTTCGGGATGCAGTTTGAAAATGCTACCAGATGAAAAGGGAGGAAAAGCACCGAACATGACCTCCCTTTTTGCTCAAAAATCAATGAATGGATGGTGGCCGTGTGTCCAAGAGAAAGACGGCAAGCGCGTTTTGGCTGTAAGGACCTTCAAACATTTTCAAACCTATCTCCAGTTCTTCCTTGAAATTGTGGGCCTTTCATTTGTTTGATATTCTTCACAAAACAGTACTTCTGTGAATGAGTCAAAGGTTGATCCTTAAATGCCCAGTTCCATAGGGTTAGAGCAGCAGTGTTAGATTATTCTTTCTATTAATGGGTTCTGGAAGGGGCTGAGATTTTTTTGAAGTAAAATTCACCCATTTTTAATGTATTGCACTCTAAAGTGTCACTTTTTGTGGTCTGTAAACTGTTTTCTGACCTCAATTTCCACTGAAATTGCATCAAAAGTCCAAATTGGAGATTGGTTAGGTGCATAAGTATAACATTCATAGAGTTGAAGTTTTTTTAAAAAAATCTGGTCCTAGAAGCTATAGAAAACAAATGGAAGGTCAAAGATAGTAGGAACTGCAGATGCTGGAGAATCCGAGACAACAAGGTGCAAGGCTGGATGAACACAGCAGGCCAAGCAGCATCATAGGAGCAGAGAGGCTGACGTTTCGGGCCTCGACCCTTCATCAGAAAAGG